GATGGCAGTAGAGGATTGGTTGGATCCATTTTTGGCCCAAATGTAAAACTTTCTAGGTACAGAGAAAAATAGATGAAAGACAGGCAAGGAAAAGGGGAGAAGACAGAAAGAAAAGGGAGGCAAGAATATGCATTGAGGGCCAGAAAGGAGGAAAAAGGGGTAGTCAGAAGTAAAACAGAAGAAATGACAGTAGATGGAGAGACTAAAACAGGAATAAGAGAGAACAGAAATGAAAGGGAAGGAATAAACCCAGGAAGTGGAGCAGGATGAGAGGTAAGCAGCAGGGAGTTCTAGGTGGGGAGTCCTAGCTTGACAGGAAATAGGAGAAAAATGTAGGGGGCCTGTGTGGGAACGGGAAGGACTCTTCCTTACCCTTCAGTCCTCATTTCAGGCTCCTCTTCCCCTAGTAAGCTTGGTTTGGGTGGCTAGTGTTTTGTCAGCACTCTCTACTTGCCCTTCTGGCTTCTTCACCTCTCATCTACATTTGAATACACAAGCAAGACAGTGCAAAGACCTGGTACAGGGGATGAAGATGACTAAGAGGAGAAATACTGAACTAGGGATGGAGGGGAGGAGACAGGACACTTCCTCTACTGGAGGAGCCCTATCTTTGTCTGAGCTTTCCTCACCCATCACATACACCCCACAAAGCAGCACATTAAGAAGCCAGGTTCTACTGAGAGCAAATCAGATTTCCCTTTATTTCCATCTTCACCAGGGGGTGAGGCATAAGGAGTGGTCCAGGTGCCTGGATTCTAACCTCCCACGTTTGCTTGGACCTTTACCGGAGCCCATGACATCCCTGCCTGATTTTAAATGTTTCTTCCTTTTCTGGGTATTTACTCTGCAAACACCTTCATTTCTTCCCCAACACACCAAAGGCCCAGGTGCACGTATCTCTGCTACAGCCTGGATGATAACCTAGTTGTATCTGTAAATCTGCGATTTTCCGCAAGCATTCGGCAGCAGGGCCTGTCCCAGGGAGACCCCAGGCGGAGCCCGCTCCTCCGGACTAGAGCGGGCAGCGCGCGGAACACCCTCCGGCCACATGCCAGGAAGGAGGACGTGCGGGCACGAAACGCAGCTCTCGCGGACAAGAGCGACCGGAGGGCGGCACGGATCTCAGCAGTCCCAGTGGCCCGACGCTCGTCTCGTAGGTCCGCGCCCTCCCGCCTGAGCCGGGTCACCTCGCGCGCTATCTGGTTGAGGAGGCCCTGTTCCACCACGTGCAGTACGACCACGGCGTCGCTGGACAGCTGCTGCTTCAGCACCTGGAACACAATGTCTCCCTGCGACCGGCGTCCTGTGCTCCGCCGCGCCCCCTGCCGCAGCGGCCGAAAGCACCCCTGCTGCTGCAACATTCCCGACGGCGAAGTCTCCCGGGAGCCGGCCTCCTTCTCCTTCATGTCCTCCGCCCTCCCGGGCTGGGACTTGGGTCTCCAGACGCAAGGCGGGCGAGCTATCCTGCCAAGAGCAGAGGCGGCCCGCGACTCTTATCTACAGTCCCGCCTCGCCCGCATGGCGTCAAGGAGAGCAATACCGGGCCATACTCGGGTGTGATTGTCCTCAGAACGCAGGCACCGCCCACTGATGGTCAGGGGGCGAAGACAAACGGGACAGGGCTCCTCGAGATGCTAATTGGCTGGAGAAAACAGATGCCGGACGTTGATTGGATGAGGGGGAGACAAAGGGTGGGAGGAAGGACTCGTGCATAGACTTGGGGCCTGAAAAGGTCTAATACTGTCTGTGGGTCTCATGAAATCTGGGGCATAAACTGCCTGTGGAGTGCTCCTTCTCCACTTCAAATGAGCCTTCTCAGGATTTCGGATCACCGGTTTGTTACAACGCTGTAGCAGTTTGGCTCTTCTTGGATCAGGGGAGTGGAAGGTGGTTTTTCTATTTAGAGAGAAGATACTGAGAACTAAGAGGATACAGCAGTATTATTAGATATGGCTTTTCCCAAGGCAGGGGATAAGGAGGAAGCTAGGTTACCATCTGGAGTCCAGGAAAAATAAATGTCATGAGGATAAATGTAATGCCCCCCATGGATCCCGTCACCTAGCTCACAAGTTCTTCATAGGGAGACTTACGAACTTCCCGTGAAAAAAAAATTGGCAGTTTCAAGAGACTGTAAACTCTGTGTAACTCAACAGGGCTAAAGCTACAAAAAGCTCAAATTTAATCTTAACCTTTGCAATGGGGTGAAAGAATGGAACTCTTAAAGTCTCAGATTGGGCTAAGGTATCACTAAAGGCAGAGAACAAATATAGAGAATCCCCCCTTCCCCTCCATGCCAAAGAAGTTAGTGCTTCTCTTCAGGATTTATTACAAAGGATGAGGCTTGGCTCATCCCTTCCTTCAATGATGTAAGAAATGGAAGAGAGGCTGAGAGAAAAAAAGAGGATTTCTTTGGAGAGGGTTACTGGAGGATTAAGGAGTTTAGAGCTTTATTATTTTGAACAGTATCAGACTGACAGAACCAAGAGTGTTCTTGGGTCTCAAATCAATAAAGGACTTTTTATTATCTAAGAGTAACCAAGAGTTATGGAACTCGCTTGTGATTTCATCCATGGGACAGAGAAATCAGGATTTTGCAGATGTCTAGTAAGGGACCATGAAGGGAAAGAATAAAGTCTTTTTTTCTGTTTGTCCCCTGTGGAGTCCTGTTCTTTTGATTAATGAAAGATCGTCATTAATTAGTAAAGTATCTGGAATAAGGTGGGTGATCTTTCTTCCAAACTTATACTGGGCAGACAAATATCATGTTGAGTCATTGGTACCACAATGCAAGAGTATGATATCGGCAGGACATAGTGGCTTCATCCTAAAGGATAGCTTATGATCGGACAGCATGTCATTTGGGCTGTTTAGGCCACAGAGGAGAAGCTTGGGATAGCCGACAATCATCATATACGAACAACAAACACACAAGCAAATAAGTTCCTAAACTGATTTCAGAGAACTATGAGTGCTATGACGGAGAAGGAAGAAGACACAGTGGGGCAGAGAATGACAAAAAGGATCTGAGTAGGTGATCTTGGAGCTGAGATTTACGTAAGAAGGAAACAACACCATGAAGAGCTGGGGAGTGGATGATCCGGAGAGAAGGAACTCCCTCCAGCATGCTTGGTACATTTGAGAAATAGCAAAAAAGTGGGAATAGTAGGACGGAGTGGACAAAGTGAGGAAAGGTGGGGTGGCCGAGAAGCAGCCAAGGGCCAGACCACACAGGCCTTGAGGCCATAATAAGGGTTTGGGATTGTACTGGTAAACATGAAAGGTTTTAAGCAGGAGATTTGCTCCTTCCTGCTTTGTGAGGGTGAGAGTGGAAAGAAGCAGATCAATCTGGCAAACACTTTGCAGATGTGATTATTTTAGGATATTGAGTTGGAGAGATTATTTGGATTATCTAGGTCAGTCCAAATACCTTCACAAATGTCCCTATAAAAGAGAAGCAGAGGGAGATTTGATACAGACAAAAGAGGAGGTAGCAATGTGACCAGGGAGACAGAGATTGGAGTGATGTGGCCACAGGCCTGATAATGCCAGGTCATCATTAGAAGCTACAAGAGGCAAGGAAAGGATTTTCCCCTAGAACCTTTGCCGGAAATATGGCCCGGATGACAGCTTGATACGAACTTCCGGCCTCCATAACTATGAGTGAAAAAATGTCTGCTGTTTTTAGCCACCAAGTTTGTGGTGATGTTACAGCAACCACAGAAAACTAATACAGGTGACTTGGAGTAAGGTTTTAGCAGTGTAGAGGGCCAGAAGTGATTGGATTCAAGATATATTTTTACAGATAGTATCAGCAGGACTAGCTGATGTATCAATATATGGTGTTGGTATTACAGAAGAGTCAAGGATCATTCCCAGGTTTTTGTTCTGAACAAGTGGGTGGATTACTGAGATAGGAGAGGGGCAAGGATTGTTAAGTGTTATGTGTTAGCCACACTCATGTTTGAGAAAATATCAATTAGCTTTTGTCACTGCTCTCTATGTGCCAGGCACTGTTCTAGTTCTTAACTCAATTATCAGTGTAAAGTGGGCAGTTAGATATGAGTCTGGAGCTGAAAGAAGGCTAGGCTGGAAATATAAACTGGGAGTCATCAGTGTACTGTATTTAAAGCCATGGGGCCAAATACATCAAACAAGAAGAAATATAAGAGAGGACTTTGTCCAGGGCCAAAGCCCAAACCAGAGGACACTCAATCTGTTTTGCCTAGACAGTGGATAAAGATCCAGCAAAGGAAAGGAGGAGCTGATGAGGAGGGAGGAAAACCAGGAGTGTGTGAAGTGACAGAAGCCAACCTGTAGTGGAGGTTGGGGCGTTGCATGGAGGGAAATATCTACATTGTCAGATGTTGCTCTAGGGGTAGAGAGGCAGAGAACTGACCGCTGCCTTTAGCAAAGTGGCTATCCCAAGTGGCCTTGACAAGCGCCATTCCAGTGGCTCGGTGGAGAGAAAAGCTCCATGCGAGTCAACTGAAGAGGGAATGAAATGCGGAATAGTCCGCTGCAAATCTAGGCAACTTTTCGGATGACTTTTGACGGGAAACAGAGGGAATGGGCCGTAGGTGGTGGTTGCCTTGGGGGTCTGGAGAGGGCTCTAATTGGTTTTAAAGGTATCTGATTCTGGGGCTTCCCTGGTAAAAGTGGTTGATTCTGCAGCACGTGTTTGCTTCTTGGTGGCAATTGGGTGGGGGCGGGGGAAACGAAGGTGAAGTACAAAGTAGGAACAACTGCAGAAGCCACGTCCCTGGGCAGGTTGAAGGGGCTGGGGTCGGCGCACGGGAGGAGGGCTTCGCCCTACTTATTCCATTTCCCCATAACTTTGGTCACCAAGCACAGGCGGTTGCCGCGGAAGCGACCCGTCCACAGCCCCCGCAGGGCTCAGCGACGAAGCTGAACACTTTGTGTGGGAATCAAGGCTCCCAGCAGGCGTTGCGCTGGGCGGTTAGTGCGCAGGCGCGCGCAGCCAGCCTCCGACTCTCCCCTCCCCGGCAAGCCCCGGCCCCAGTTCCAAGCTGGAGCCACCGACGCGAAGGGGGACGGGTTCCTCTTAAAAGAGAAACGGAGGCGGCGCGCGCTAGGTGGGCCCCTGTCCTCCCGCCGCTCTCCGGGCCTGCGCGCGACGCTGGGGAGGCGCAGGCGCAGTCGGGATGAGGGCGGGTGGGGGCGCTCAGGTAAGGCCGGGGTGGGAGTGGGCCGCGGCGGGAGCTCTGGGCGGCCTGGGAGCTGCCTTAGGAATTGGCCCATCCGACGCAGTGTGAGTGTTCAGTGGGGCGGCCCGAGACGGAGTGGGGGGCGCCTTCCAGACCCCCCCTTCCCCGCCCTCCTGTCCCGGCTCCACCCACAACGACCCAACTATGAGGAGCTCTCCCAATGCACACGACCTCTCCTTCCCTCATCAACCAGTGAAGACCCATGCCCTTTTGAAGATGAAACTGTTACCTTACCCTCTGCCCCTTCCTAGTCGAAATTTCCTTACCCATAGCTCCAGTTCTTCACGTCAGTGGGCCCAGGATCAGGCCATTCTGACTTTGATGCAGTACCCCTGCCTCCCACCCCCAAGATACCCACCCCATAGCGCTAATTTACACGCCCTGTAATGGAAGCAGAGGTGGTTTGGACCCAGTGGCAGCGAATGCTATTGCAGTGGTTTAGTTCTGCCCCAATTCACCGTTGAGGAAACTGAGGCCCCAGCGGTGGGTGGAACCGGGGCCTCTGGCCTCGGATCAGGTCGGCCCACACGCGTGTCTCCCCGACCCCGCAGGCCCTGGTACTCATGGCTGCCTCCCCTGCGGACGCATCCCTCAGGCGGCGAGAGAAGCGGCGGCAGCTGGACGCGCGCCGCAGCAAGTGCCGCATCCGCCTGGGCGGCCACATGGAACAGTGGTGCCTCCTCAAGGAGCAGCTGGGCTTCTCCCTGCACTCGCAGCTGGCCAAGTTCCTGTTGGACCGGTTAGGGGCCGGGTCAAGGGTTCTGGCGGAGGGCACCCAGGCTGCAACACCCAGCACCCTACCCGCCCCCTTTCCCCCACATCAAGTGCTGGCCTGCTGCTCCTTCCCACTGGCAGATTTATCACTTCAGCAGTAAGGCCAGTGTGATTTGTGGCCTCCCAGGGTCTCCCCCCACCTCTTGGTCCAGGAGAATAGGGGACCCCGTAAGTGTGTGAATGCCCAGAGCTGAGGGCAGTTGGCCACATGGGCCCCCACCTGACCTGCCTCTTGTCCCCCTGGCAGGTACACTTCTTCAGGCTGCGTGCTTTGTGCAGGTGGGTAGGGAATGGCTAGGGGTAGAGGATTAGGAGCCAGAGAGAGAATAGGGGCAACAAGGAGTTGTGTGACCCAGAAACACCCTCCCTAAGGGGATTGGATAAGAGGGAGCCTTGAGTGAGTTTGGGAAGAGATGGGGGAGTTGGGGAGCCCAAGGAGGCAGCCTGTGGAGAAGGGAGCAGTATCTCAGAACACTGGGGTTTGGGCTCTGAAGAATGGTAAACTGGATTAGGGACCAGGGTGGCCCAGGGGGTAGGGGTACAGGGCTGTCTGAGTGTGGATCTCCAGGATGAGAGGAGAGGACCTCCCAGCTCACCCTGACTGTTGCCTTCACTGCTCTAGGTCCTGAGCCTGTGGCCCCCAAGGGTCTGCAGTATCTGGTGCTCCTGTCTCATGCTCACAGTCGAGAGTGCAGCCTGGTGCCTGGGCTGCGGGGACCTGGGGGCCGAGATGGGGGGCTTGTGTGGGAGTGCTCAGCCGGCCACACCTTCTCCTGGGGCCCCTCTTCAGGCCCCACATCTCCAGAGGAGCCCAATCCGGTCCCCCTTGCAAGTACTGGCCAGAGAAGCTGGTGCCCAGAAGCCAGGAGTGGGCCAGAGCCCGCAGGTAGGCTGGGGGAAAGAAGAGTTATGGAGAAAAAGGAGGGAAAAGTGTTCTTGTCCCTGTAGCTCAGAACCCCATTCTTTAAAAATGATCCTTTCTCCGTGGAAAAACTCTATGGTGACAAGGAAATACATCCTCAAATATACTTTTAGGTATGAAAAGCAAAATACAGAATTGGATGTATGGTATATTACCATTGGTGGAAAAATAAGAGGAGAAAGGAAAATATTTGTATGTACTTATGAATGTATAGGATATTTCTGGAAGGGCATGTAGGAAACCAGGTTACCTGTAGGAGGAATGAGGTGGCTGGGGTATAGTATTGGAAAGGAGACTTTTCACATGGTTCAAAGAAAAAACCCTGTTTTTTGAACCATGTGAATGTACCATCTCTAAAATAAAACAGCCCCTCCCACTCCAGTAGCCTCTGCCCCCTCTTCCTCCTTCCTAAGAGTCTTCCTACCACTTCAGACCTTAGAACTCCACCTGTCCTCATCCCTCCAATACAGGGTTCCTTCCCCTTTGACCCTACCTATGCCAACAGGTTTGGAATCTAAGCATGATGAGAGGACTGAGGAGGCCAGGTTGCCCAGGTGAGTTTGGGGTTGGGGGGGACAAGATAGACCTGGGTGGACAATGGGAGTGAGGGAGCACGACCTCCTGCTTGCCTTCCTTGGACCTGCAGAGAGGTGGGACCCCCGCCAGAGGCCTTCCCATCCCTAGGAGAAGAAGACGGGGAAGAGGAAGATGAGGATGAAGAGGAGATGCTCAGTGATGCCAGCCCATGGACCTACAGCTCCTCCCCAGATGAGCAAGTTGGGGCTGAGGGAGGGTGCTGAGCAGAGCAGGAGGAGGGAGGGGGTGACTGGCTGGGGAACCCAGAGCTCTGCAGACTTGAGGGAGGGGCTTGTTGGTGGAGAGGGCAGGGTAGGCTTTGGAAAAGGCAGAAAGAACTAGAGGCTTTGGATTGGGTGGAAAGGAAGTTAGGCTCTGGGGGAAAATGAAAGCTGAAAGTAGGTATGAACAGGGAGCCTGTGGTAGGGGTAGGGTTGTTCTGAGTTTGGGATCTTTGCAGTTTAGGGGTTGGGGTTGGGCTGGGGCTGGCTGAGAATCCAGGGAGATAATGCCTTCCTCTTCTTCATTCTCCTTTCAGCAGTGAGCCAGATGCTCCCAGACCACCCCCTTCCCCTGTCACCCATGCACTTAAGGATGGGGAGATACCCCCGGCCCCTGCAGCTGTCCCAACTCCTCTTGCTTCGCCATCCTCATCAGCATCCTCATTGGGTTCTGGAGCTCCTCTGCCTGTGGAAGTCAGGATACAGCCAGAGCTCAGTGGGACCCCTCAAGCAGACCAGCAGACTGAGCCCCTGGCCAGGTAACCTGATGGCTGAGACAGAGGGCAGGGGCATCCTGGGACATGGCCCTCCCTCGAGGCCCTCTGCTCCCTCTTTGCTGCCCGTAGCCCTGGGAGTCAGGCTCAGTCTGCTCTGGCCTCGGCATGGGATGAGGACACTGCTCAGATCGGCCCCAAGAGAATTAGGTAGGACTGGGGGAAGTGGCTCTGGGTGGGGAAGGGAGCGGAGCGAGGTGGAGGAGAGCCTGCACAAGTCCTCATGCTTCCTATTCTCCTCCCCCAGGAAAGCTGCCAAAAGAGAGCTGCTGCCCTGTGACTTCCCTGGCTGCGGAAGGATCTTCTCAAACCGGCAGTATTTGAATGTGAGGATGTGAGGGGTTCAGGTTGGGTTCTGTGTAGCCTCATGGGTGGAGGAGAAGGGCTGAAGGAAAAGCTGAGGCAAAGAAGCCTAGGGTGTGGGGGGAGTTCAGAGCCAGGGAGAGAAGAGTTGGGATGGACGTGCAGAGCTTGCCTATAGTTAATAATCACTAATCCAGATGACCGGTAGATAAGGCAGAAAACCAAGCCCCAGGTGCGCAGCTGCTGCCCACTACTGCTTGTTACACAGGCCCTCTGATGACCACGTGGAGATGATGGTGGCATTCCTCAGGCTTTTGGGGTGCTAGTGACTATTCTAAGCACTTGATATGTGTCAAGTCTTTTGATCTTCTCGGCATTCCTATGAAGTGGGTGCTGGTACTACTCCTGCTTTGCAGATGAGGAAACCAAGGAAAACAGAAATGTCAAGCGTTGCCCAAGGCTTCTCAGCTAGTGTGTCATGGTGCTCGGTTCCTCACTCCATCGGGCTGCCTCGCCCTGCTGTCTCATGTGGGTGGTCCTCACTCCAGGAGGATTAGGGGACAGACCTGTCCCCAGCCTCACTGCAGGAGAGGTTTGAGGCACAGAGAGAGAAGAGTCCCAGTCCCACACTCAGCCAGAGCTCTCACAGGGCTCTGAGGCCGGGAGAGGACCCAGACCCGAGGGATGGTGAAGCCTGGGTGGATGGGATTTGGGAGGGGGGAAGGTCCCCAAGTGGTGGTGAAGCTCTGGGCTTCTGAGAAGAACATTCAGCAGGGCTGGTCAGACATACTTGAGTCTATTAATGGAGGAGACTGAAGTAGCCCCCAGCAGCAGTTTAATTATGGGAAAATAGGATTATGGAGAAAGGGAAAGCGCATGCAACTTAGTGAGCCAGGATGTGAAATTAGACCAGATAAAAAGAGAAATATTTCCCAGAAATACTTGGGGAGTTAAGGTTGAAGAACACACTATCCTTAAAAGTGTTCCAGGTTGAGAAGGAGTGTGTGTGTGTGTGTGTCTGTGTGTGTGTGTGTGTGTGTGTGCGCGCGCGCACGCTTCCAAAGCAGATTTAGGAGAAAATGATATAATCCCATGGTGAGCTATTACTAAAAAGTAGGCCATCTCAGTGATATTGTTGTACATTGATATTGATATCAAGGAGAAAAATCACACCCACCAAAAAATGTGTTCCTATCCCTGGCAGATGGCAAATCCATAGTTAGGGAACCAAGAGTGTTACCAGAAGTGCACTTTTTTCAGGGACCTGGGCATTGCAAGGTGAGGTTGTGACAAAGAGGTGAGATAATGGAACTTGAGGGCAGGATAGGGTGAGGGCAGAGTTTGGGGTCAGGAAGGGATGGGATTGGGGTGCTCATGTATAGGTGAGGACTGGCCAGGATGATATGAGCTGGCGGTGACAAGGAGAACTGTTGTGGGAGAGGGCAGAAGAGCCTGCTGCTGGGTCAGCTCTGGTGGTTGCCCTGAGGAAACCATGTGCTTCCTCCCCTAGCACCACAAGAAGTACCAGCACATCCACCAAAAGTCCTTCTCCTGCCCAGAGCCGGCCTGTGGGAAGTCCTTCAACTTTAAGAAACACCTGAAGGAGCATGTGAAGCTGCACAGTGGTGAGTGGTGGAAATGCCTCCTCACCTCCCCCTGTGGGTCCCTTCCCCTCCCCCTGTGGGTCCCTTCCCCTCACTCTGTGGGTCCCTTCCCCTCCCTCTGTGAGTCCCTTCACCTCCCCCATGAGGCCAATCATCTCCTATCTGCAGGTCTTGTCACACTGCTCTGGGATAACTCTGACTCACACACTCATCCTGCACTCTCTGTGTGTTTAGATCCTCCCTGCTTGAAACTGTTCTAGGTGCTGGGCTACAGCAGTGAATAAAGCAGGCAGTACTCACCTAAGATGTCCACTCTAGTGAAGGGCTACAAAGAGCTGTGAAAGGTGCTTTGAGCAAAGACCTAAGTGAAGGGAGGAATGGAGGCTTTGCCACATCCACATGAGAGGCAGCACATGAGAGGACCCTAAACTGGCATCTGCAGGCCTGTTCCAGGAATGGAGAGGAGGCCAGGAGATTAGAAAGGAAGGAAGAGAGGTCAGATAGGTGGTAGGGGCCTTCAAGACCACCGTCGGTTGGCAAATGTGATGGGCACCAGTGCGGTGGAGGGAGGGACAGAACTGATTTTAAAAGGAGCATTGTGGCTGCCATGTGGAGAATAGGGGATAGCAGGAATGTGCAGTGCACAGTGATAGTGACCTACACAGTCAAGTTGATGAGAAGTGGCTGGAGACTGACAAGAGAGTGAAGATGGAGCCAGGGCTACTGTGGGAAGAACAGATTGTCCATGGGTAGGACTGTGGAGTCAGGGGTGACTTGGAGGGTTCCAGCCTGAGCCAACTGGGCAGAAGGTGATGTGGCTTCCTGAAAGTGAGGGAGAAGCAGGCCTCAGGAAAGGCACATGACATTTTATTTGGGACATGCTACTTAGGTATCCCAGAAAACGTGAATCTCGTGTTCAGGGGAGATGTTGGGCAAGAAAAAAGTGTTCATCATGAGCATATGGTGTTTAGAGCCATGGGTGGAGTGTTCCTACAGGGAGAGAGTGAACATAGGTAGAGAAGAGGTCTGAGCAGGGCAGGTAGGAAGGGCAGCTACAGAGGTGCTGTTGAAGCAGGTGAAGAGAGCAGTATCTGAGGAGCCAAGTGGAGAAAGTGCTCCAGGGAGGAGGGAGGGGTGAGATGTGCCGGTGCTGCAGAGCTGAGTGAGATGAGGATGCGAACAGGCCACCAGGCAGGGCGATGGGAAGCCATCCTTGACCAGATGACAAAATGGCATGTGACAAGGGAGATGACAGCCAGAATGGACTGGGTTCAGAGCAGAGACGAGCTAAGGAAGTGTAGACAGCAAGTATGGACAACTCTTCGGAGTTCTACTGTGAAGACAAGCAGAGAAATAGGTGTAAGTTGGAGGGCTGTGAGCCTGAGCACAGAGATGGGAATGATCCCACAGAGAGGAAAGGCTTGCTGATGCCAGGGTGGGTTGAGCAACCTTAAGTCGTTGAGGAGGGGTGTATCTGAGCACAGTTGGAGGGCAGCCACAGGGAAGCAGGGACTATTCACATATATGGGCACAGAAGCAAGTTGGCTGGTGGATTAGGTGGGGGGAGGATGTGGGCATTCTCTCCTGGCTCTTCTTCTTGGTGACTTATAAAACGAGGTCACTGCTGAGTGAGGTTGGTAGAAAGAGGAGGTCGTGTGGAAAATGCCCTTCTGAACTCTAGAAAGTGGGAGAGTGAACTGACCAAGGAGATGCAGAGGCATTGTGTGTGTGCGGCGGGGGTGAGGCTTGACACTTGTAGTTGTGTGTGGAAGTAGAGCTCAAAGTGGGGTGAGGGTGGGGTGTTGTAGGTTGTGTTTCCGCCCCCCTTGGCGTACGTGTGCCGGCCTGGATCAGGCCAAGGGTTGTATTTGTCCTGAGTTGGGCTTTAACCGAGCAGGCACAGCTGAGGAAGAGAGGGACAGGTGAGTTGGTAGTGTGAGTGGAGGAAGGCTACAAAGATGCCCTGGAAATGAACTGGGCAAAGAGAGGGGAGGGGGACAGTGGGAAGGCAGTGGGCTGCTGGACCGGCAGCCTGGAACTGTGGGATAACTGTAACAGGACAAGGTAGGGGGCCCTGGCTGGAACTGGGATGTCTGAAATTGTGATTTCAAGGTGGTGCAGTGATGGGGCATGACCTGGGAATGGTGGCTGAGAAGGGCTGTGGGGGGCGGCCAGGTCAGTGAAGGTCAGGGAACAGGGGAGGGGAGTGCTGGACATGTAGAAAACAAAGTGACAGCAGTGGTGATGGCTGAGGAGGGGGCCTGGAGCCAGAGCTGTGTGGAGTGCGGGAGCGTGATGGGGATGAAGGCTGTAGGGGTGTGTGCGTGGTCTGATGGCAGGGTATACAGAGCAGCAGTGGTTCAGAGGTCTACAGGATGCCATGAAAAGCAAGGCTACCTCCTCTGCTGCAGGAGGTGTAAGAGAAAAACCACAGCAGGCCTGTGAGAACTGCTGGAGACGGGCGATGGGCAGGTGCTGTTAGAGCTGGCAGGGGGGCAGGTTCAGGGAGAAAGGAGAGGGGATTGGCTCTTGACACCCACAGGGCGTCTGACAGGTCACACGGCACTGTTGGGGGGTGGTGGGAGGAGTGAGATATGCAGGCTGAATAGGGACAGTACTCCTTTGGGGGACAGTGGGGGTGGACCAAGGAAGGGCCTCAGCTTGGGGATGGATGCTGGGCTGTCCCCCATGTGCCCACAGATACCCGAGACTACATTTGTGAGTTCTGCGCCCGGTCTTTCCGCACCAGCAGCAACTTGGTCATCCACCGGCGCATCCACACTGGAGAGAAACCCCTGCAGTGAGTGTGGGGAAGAGAGCCCGGGGTGGGGGGAAATGGGGAGGTGCTGGCAGGACATCTGGGCAGTTGGGACCAGGAGGAACCCCTGGGGAAGTCAAGATGGGCTGAGGCCCATTTCTTCCCCCTGCTGTCCCTGGCTCAGGTGTGAGATCTGCGGGTTCACCTGCCGCCAGAAGGCGTCCCTGAATTGGCATCGGCGCAAGCATGCAGAGACGGTGGCTGCCTTGCGATTCCCCTGTGAGTTCTGCGGCAAGCGCTTCGAGAAGCCAGACAGTGTCACAGCTCACCGCAGCAAAAGCCACCCCGCCTTGCTCCTGGCCCCACAAGAATTAGCTGGTCCATTGGAGTCCTGTTCCAGCATCTCTGCCCCTGCATCCCTGGGGACCGACGAGGGATCCAGGCCCTCTCTGGCTCCTCAGCCTCCCACACTGCTCCCTTAGCAGTGAGCACTCCCCAGAATTTGGGGAGCCAGGGACTGGAAAGGAGCAAGAAGGGCCAGATGACTGGTCCCTGGGGACTAGGGTGATGGGGAGTGCAGGGCAGGGGCAAGACTGTGCTCTAGGGGAGCCAGGCTACTTTAGTCTTCCTAAAGGACAGAATAAACCCAGTATTTTACATGGACGTGTGTGAGCAGAGCAGCAGAGCGAGTGTTTTGGCACCTGAGGTATAGGAATCTTGATTCCTTTGGAAGCAGGCTCTCCTGGAATGTGCCTGAGTGCACCCTGAGTGCAGGCCTTATTCTTCTCTCTGCAGACCCCCACCTGCACCCACCCTGAAGACCCAGCTTTCTTTCCCAATTCGCTTTGGCACTCCTTCCACTCTTGCATTCAAGCAAGGCACTAGGTAATTCCAGAGGGTTGGGCTGGAGTAGGATTAGAGGTATGTGTTCCTGGGCCACATCTGTACTCTCCACTAACCAAGAGAACCAAATGTATGGGGGCCCCTAAAGAGTCTTGCCTTCCAGTGCAAAAATGAGGGGCCTATATGTGCGAGATTGCTGAGCTAGCTTGGGAAGGGACCAGAGACCTTGGAATTTTGAAAGGGCCTGTCTCTTGCGTGACTCCTGAAGTCTGCAAATACAGCAGCCTCAGGTTTGACAAAGGGAGCTCTTGGCATCTGGAACTCAAATAATTCTTTATTTCACCACCTGCAAGCAATAAAATCGCTGGCCAATTACAGGGAATTTTCATCCCTGCACTGTGGCCTCTGTGGAGCTCAGTTTCCTCATGGCTGCAAGCTTAATTTGTGTATAGCGTTCTTACTGCACTTGGCAGTGCCCAGCTTTGTGGACCCATGTGGTCTTGACTCAGGTCCCAGGGTTGATGTCCCCCACCTGGAGAACACTGTCCTGAGAGGCACCTTGATCTGTACACCAACAGGTCTGTCCCATGGGACAGGTGGGCAGCCACGCTGAGAGTTCCTGCCCACCTTTACATGGTGTGAAGCACTTCTCCGGGTGCTTCTGGCGTGGAGATATCTTTCAGTGAAGTGAGCTTTCCCACTATCTCTCTGCAAATTTCCCATCTCTCAGAAGCTGAGGGAGAAAGCAGCAGAGAGACTAACAGTCAAGTGAAAGGAAGAGGCAAGAAAACCACAGGGCCTGTGACTCCAGCCACATCTGTGGTCATTAACTGAAGAGGCAGTACACCAAAAGTATCTAGAAAGAAGAGGTAGAGGACACTCAGGCTGGAAAAAGGAGATGGGACAAGAGAAGACAGGATGCTGATGGGAAAACAGGAAACACCTGAGAGCACAGCAGCAGGGATGGGACACACCAATACTTGGGCGGTCTCCCACGTGTGGGGTCTGGGAGGTTCCCCCTGCACCTACACCTCAGAGGGGGAGAAGGACGGACAGAGAACAGGCAAAGAGCTGACAGAGGAAGCAGGTGTAGGGGTGCAGCGAGAGGCCAGGTGAAGTGCTACCAACAGAGATGGAGAAAGGTAATATGCCACGCTGTCTTTCCACAGAACTCCATCTGCGAGTTGTCCCACCCATCCCTATGGCACTATGAAGGTGCTTATCAAGCCCACTCCGGAGAAGACTCTCAGCAAGTCTTTCTCAACTGAGACACAAAAAGCCCTGGCTTTTCCTGTCCTGCTTGCCCAGCAAAGATGAGGGCAGTGCCCGCCTTGGCCTCAGTGGCAGCGGCAGCTGTAGCTGCGGCGGCGCGAGCCCGTGTGTGGGCCCGCTGGTGTTGCGACAGGGAGCGGCTGTGGCTGAAACACTTGCCACACTCCGCACATTCCGCCGGCCGCTCGCCCAGGTGCGTTTTGCGGTGCAGTGCCAGCTTGGAGCCCACACTGAAGGCTTTGCCACACTCAGGGCACTTGTGGGGCTTGTGGCCGGCATGGTTGCGCCGGTGCACGTTGAGGTTGGACACGCACGTGAAGTGCTTGCCGCACAACTCACAGCGGTAGGGCTTCTCGCCTGTGTGTGTGCGCCTGTGCTTTGTGAGGTCCGAGCGGTCGCTGAAGCAGCGGCCACACTCGGTACAGGGGAAGGGCCTCTCGCCTGTGTGGATGCGCTGGTGCACCACAAGGTCGGAGCGCTGCCCGAAGCCCTTGCCACACGTGGTGCATGCGTGTGGCCGCTCTCCCTGGTGGCTGCGCCGATGGCGCAGCAGCGTGGAGCTCTCACTGAAGCGACGCCCGCAGTCGCTGCAAGCGTAGGGCTTCTCGCCCGTGTGCGTGCGCTGATGGCGCACCAGGGTGGCGCTCTCCAAGAAGCCCTTGCCACACTCTGGGCATTTGAAAGGTTTCTCACCCGAGTGCGTCTGCAGGTGTCGCGTTAGTGTGGAGCTCTTGCCAAAGCTCTTGCCACACATACTACATTGGTGTGCGTCCGAAGTGCCTGGCTGCCGAAGTGTGGAGTCACCAGGGCTCCTGGCCGTGTGGACACGTAAATGGCTCCGAAGTCCCGCACCGCTGCGGAAGGCCCGCGGGCACTGAGTGCAGCGATGGAGCGTGTCAGCGGGCACGGCCGGTGTCCCCCACGGGTGTGCCCGTGCCTGGTGGAAGCGCAGTGCGCTCTGGCGGAAGGCACGAGGGCACAGCGGACAGCGGCGCGGCAGCTCAGGAGGGTGCCAGTGGCGCCTGTGCAGCAGCAGAGCCGGGAGGTGTGGGAAGCAGCGGCCGCAAGCTCGGCAGCGGCAGGAGCGGCTGCGCCGCCTGTGCGCGCTCTGGTGTAGGTCAAGGCGGCCGCTGTGATGAAAGCTCTGGCCACACTCATTGCAGATGTAGAGCGTCTGGCCCGCATGAGCGCGTCGGTGCGCACGGAGGTCTGCGGCCTGTGCGCAGCGCTCGCCGCACTCTAGACAGCGGAAGCGGCTGTCGCCACCATGGGCGCGCTCATGCCGCAGCAGCACCGAACTGTAGCGGAAGCTCTTTCCACACTCACTGCACCCATAAGGCCTGCCGGCTGCTGCCTCTGCGGCAGCAGCGAGCATGATGAGGGCCAGGCCGGGCGCCCTCAGGGTGCAGCGTGCCACTCACACTCTGGAGTCCACCTCCTCCAGCTGAGAGTTATTTTCAGTTTTCTTAAGGCCTAGAAAGGGAACGGTAGCAGAGGGAAGAGAGGGAGGCCCGGAAAACTGGTCCGCGGATTCCAGGGTTCCTTCTCTCACAGCAGGTGCTGTGGCTGTTTCAGAGGTGGGCTGCAGCTAGGTTTACCATGTACCGTGCGTGAGCCCTGCAGGGAGAAGGTCACTGTGAGCCCCAGCAACATCTATGACAGCTACACCTTGGGGAATGGAGGGGCAAGCACAGGCTCCCTGTTTTCTGTACCTTCCCCAGCTAGACCATCTCTGGAGTTCCATTCTCCAAGAGGAGGCAAAGCCATGGGAGTCCTAGAAATATGGGGGGGGAGGGGTCCTTGTGCCACCAGGAAGGGCAGTAGGGACTCAAGAGGGGAGCCTTCCACCAGTACACTGTTCGGGAGGGAAGGAAGGGTGTCCAGCTTGTTTTATGACCTTAGCCCAGGGACCTAGGCCTGGAGATGCACTAGGGAACGACCAAGGAGGGATGGGTCATGAGAAGTCCCCTGGGCCTAAACCACATCAACACCTTCCTCTGAAGACCCAGGGTTTCCTGAGTAACCAGTGTGAACCCAGCCAGGCCTGGGTTGGAAGCGGTGAAGCATAAACCTATCCAGCAGCAGCCTGGGCAAAAGGCTCAGGAACGGCTGGGATCTGGGCAAGGGAAGGTATCTGAGAAAACCCAAAGTATTGCTCCTTGGCTTTGGACAGCACCTGATACACAATCATACCACATCAGTACACAGCCTCAAAGTTCTGTGGCCTAGCCTTGAGAAAGCAACTCAGGACCCAGGAAAGGGGTAAAAGGAAGCATGGATAATTCACAAAGAATATTATCAAAAGTTGATGGCATTATCAAAGAAGTGATCTTCCCATTTCTAGGGAAGGCTGGGGAGAAGGAAGGGACATCCTTTCTAATTCTCAGGGCATTCAAGTTGTTTGCAAACATTCTGCAGACTCTCCTCATTGCCCCAGCTCCAGGGATCTGAGAACCTGGAGTAGCAAAGAAGCCCCTTCATGGGGATGGAATCTGCTCTGCTGTTTTCTTTATCTCAAGTGGTATCCCTGAATCCTTCTGACAAGTTGGTCCAGGTGGCTCTCTGTGAGCAGGGTCAGCATTTGTGCACAGAACCTCCTATGCCCTTTATTTAGAGCACAAATTGGGCTGCTCTCCTCACCTGACTGGCCTCACCACTGACTGTTCCCCTCAAGACCCATGGATCTGTCCCCAGTTCAGTTCAGTGGGACACGGGAGACAGGTATAGTCACTATAAGTTATAGGCCATGTCACCCAACAGATCAGTGAGAGTAAGCAAATAAAATAGTCATCAGTCACTTTCTTATTAGCAGATGGAAACTCAAATACCCAGAGCTGTGGTTAAAACACCCCATAGATGGGGTCCTCATCTTTTGGACGCAAATAGGGTCAATTGAAAAAAGCCTTTAAAACTACAGACCTGCAGGGGTGGGCTCTGAAGCTTCTGTTCCCCTCCTTCTTGGGAAGGATTGGTGGATATAGCATGTTCTCTCCCTGTGCCTCTGGAGCAGGATGTGCTGTGCCCTGCAGGAAGGATAAAATAAGAGGGACAATGTGAATTTAAACTGAGCAAAGGGGACAGATGCAGGTAGAAGAGAAAGAAGGAAACATTTCTTGGAAGAGAGTATTTTTAAAATGGATATTTTCAAATATAAAAAACTAACAAGAATAGTACCACAAATCACTCACTCACCTTCAGCATCTATTTACATTTTGCTATTTCGTTTCATCTATGACACTCCCCCCACCCTACCCCAGCCCATACACTATTTTTTTTGGGGGGGGGGTGTCTGGAGTATTTTAAATCCTAGACATCTTATTCAAAGAGGATGAGTTTTAAACAAAATCTGCAAGCAGGGGCAAGAGCCCCTCTGCAGACCTGAGAGCAGACTTTAGAGGGAGTTTCTTGGTTCTTCCAGAGACAGTTTTCAGCCCAGGCACTTGCTTGGGCTGCTAATTATAGCTGGTCAAATTCAAAAGAATGTTTGCCCTTGTGTGAATACAACCTTCTCTCAAGGGTCAGTGGTTGATCCCAAATGGCAAAGAGAG